GACGATTATTTCAGCAATCAATTAAGCCGATTGTTTCAGCCCTAGTAATTTTATTTCCAACTAGTAATAATGTATCCCTAGTGTACCAGCCAGTGTCTTTATTGAAGTACTTCAATGCTATCACACATACCTTAGCAAAATGTATTGAGATTTATCTGGTTTACAAACACAAAGACATGCAAAGCCAAACAACATGTGATCTTTTAATTGGTTAACAAAAAAAAAATAAAAATATGCAAACATGGTGAGCATTTGTGTTCATCTCCCTAATGTCCAAGTACGGACTGTTTAAAGGCTATTGGGAAATTTGTGACTGAAGGGTCTTCTTTTCCTTCTGGACCCCCAGTTCTCTGATTCAGCTTCACCAGCCGCCTTCATCCACAGTGGCTGAAATTCGAGATAAGTGCTTGTTTTGGGCTGGTATCCCCTTTGTCTAATCTAAAGTCAGGCGTCTCTCCCTGCAGGACTGATGTAGTTTGTGTCTCAACCTCTGCATGGGGTTTAGGTCTTGACAGCTAAAGGCCCTAATCCACTGTCCAGCCACGACCCAGGAGGGGGCACTGATAGCCCTGAAAGACACGAGGGATTAATCTATCAATTTCAGATAACTTATGTTGGATTCAGTCTGGAACATTTAAAGCTCAGGTCATTCTCCTGTTTAGTGGGAATTATTGCAGATGTTTAAAAAGTCCTTCCATTAGGGTGACATTATTATAGATTCTGTCATTTAAAACTTTATCTCTAATGTTTTACTTGTCCTGCATGGTAGGATAGGAGCCCCCTGTGTTGATAAATACTGATAGTCATGTGGTTTTCCAAATGACCCCCTGTGTCCTGGTTGATGGACTAGAAGAAAAGAAAAATCTCCAGAAAGGAGGGAAAGCAGCTTGGCAGGCGACTGAACACACTGAATGAATTCTTTTCCGACGTCTTATTCTGCCTTACTCCAACCTTTTTGAGCACTTGCAGGAATTTACAGAACCTCTATAGGGTCTTTGAAATAATTTGAAGGCACATCTGGCTGTCCTGATAAGGTCCTTTGCAGGAAGTTGTTGTGTGTGATGAGTTCCTGTGGGTTTGGGGGTTCAGAAAAATAATAGTTTTTAAAGAAAGGAGAGAAAGGAAAAGGATGCAGATCATATCAGTCTAAGAATGAGGATATGGCCAATGAAGATAGTAAAAACATTATTATAAAAGAGACAGGGTTATCATTTGAAGAGTACATAGAAAAAACTGAGATTTCAGTCTTTTCTAGGTAACTTTTCTTCATTTCTTCTCTCTGAAAGTCTTTTTTAGTTTGAATGATTATTGTTTCTTTTCCTTGACAGACTCTGAGACATTTCCTCATCCATTTTAGGGTAGCAGTTTCGCACTCTCTTCTACTGTCCCGAGGCATTGGTTTTGGTCTGGAAGATAATTAGGTGGAGCAGGCAATGCAAGAGCTGGCAATTAGGTGATTAGACGCCCTTAGTGAGTGTTGTTTGAAATAGCAACCAGTGTTGTTTTAGCGGGGGGAGCAGCATCACCCAGGCCTCTTTCAGACTGGGAACCAGTGCCGCTGCAGGGGGAGGAGCACTTTCACACATACTGATACTTTGCTGATCAAGTAACAAAGTGGCCCATCAAACACCAGGATGTCACATAAAGTCGTACACTGTGACTTTCCCGCTTCTTAGTGCCACCAGTCTATCAGGCATCCACCATCACCCCCTCGCTTTCTTCCGCCTTTGGAGTTTAATCAATTCTCTTCCTTTTTGTGGCAACCAATAAAGTATAAATCCCCCCAATACGCTGCTGAATTTCACACCCCAGATGACATTATCCATGAGCAAGTGAGAAACCTTTATCCTAGAGGATGTAGTCTTCATCTGGCTTGTTAACACTATTACTACTATTAAAACATCCTCTTATCTGCACTCTTTCACATGTCAGCATCTATAGACCGTAACGTCTCTTCCAAATGAGTCTGCACAGTAGTTCGCAACTACTGTGGTGTGCTTTTCACATATAGATGCTAATTTGTTTTACCTCTAGAACCTGACATTTTATTAATTTGCAGTCACTATTGCAATATCAATATGTGCACATCTTGGGCTTCAAAAGAAAAACTTTTCAAACACTTGGTGTTTTGATTAACTGCACAAAGAATTGTTTATTTAAATCTATTTAACTTACCCACCCCCCCAGTGATTCCTAAATCTAGTTCTGTAAAATTAAATGTTGGTAAAAAAAAAAAAATATCCAGCTTTTCTCTGAAGGCTATAGATGTTGGTTAAGAGTGTATTAAAGAATAAACAGTTCAATAAAAAACAAGGAGCTCCAAAGACATTTCAAGGAGTAAGTTTAGGAGAACATTAAAGCAGGGTTTGTCCACAAAAAAATAGAAAATCTATTTCAATTCAGGTTATTTATATACTGCCACTTGAGATCACATGTCACCTGGGTGCGTTTTACAGAGACAATTCAATCAAAACAAAGACTGAAAAAAAGTTTTCTGTCTAAAGGAAACCTGTTGATTGCACAGAGGCATTGACTTGCAGGATGCACTCCTCTTGGATGACCACTTGGAAACTGTAGATATTCGCTTGCATTTTGGCTATGATTACAGTAACCCATCACGTCATGCATGCAGTGAAAGTGGAGAGGAAAAACCTCGAATAGCAGAACCAGGCTCAATGTGAACGTCCATCTGATGAAGTAATGTTCGGTCTTTGAAAGTATGATGTAATGTCTTCTGATCAGGTGAGAACAGAAGCATCCATACATAGCCTTTTGTTTAACAGAAAACCAACATTGCACACTCCCATAACCTCACCATCCACATGGTGAAACAAGATAGTGACAGCTTCATCCTATGTTTGTATGTTTTTATATAGCAGTAACAAGAAAGCTCACCCGAGTTTCTATAGTGTCCTTTCTATTCCAATGAGCTTCCAAATAGAGCTAAATACAAAGCAGTCCTGGAGAATCTGCTAGAGGATGCTAAGATCGGAGACTGGGGCAGAGGTTTAGCTTTCAGCTGGAGGATAACCCTAAACCTATTGTAGGAGCCGCTATAGAATGGTTCCAAACAATGCCTATTCATCTGTTTTAATTTCCCAGTCAAAGAGACATAAGTATTTATATGCATTTAGACTAGGACTTGGAAAACGCTGCACACCTGATGCAATCCTCATACAGATTGAACAATTTTATTAAAAAAAGGCTCTAGTTTTAGACCCTTGGTTTCAAAGCTGGTAGAGACATAGCCCAAAAGATTGGCATCTTTGCAACTGAGTCCAATGATTGCTAAACCTTTTAAGTTTTTTATTTGGAAAAATACATTTTAAAACCATGTATCCTCTTCAAGCATCTCAGTCCGCTTCCTCTCACTGTCCACATCCATTCAAGTTCATTTTTCTAAAATGTCTTTAGGGGTGAATGTCAATGCATTGTCAAGTCTGTGTGTAGGCCTGACAACCTGTCAGCTTCTAAAGATTGGCCAGCAAGAACATTTATTGTTTCATGTTGGAACCATAATAACTTTTTTTTTTGTCACCACTCTCAGATTATTGATGCCTAGATGTGTTTTTGTGACATTCGCTTCTCCAATTTATTGCTTTTTTTCTTTGTTTTTTTGCAAAAGCACACCAACAGAAACCATACTTAAATGAGTGATGTTGCAACTATCTCTAGAAGCAGAGGGTGTTCTTATAATGTGCAGAGGGTCACCTCCTGAGGGCGGGGGGGCCGTAATGACTTCCCCATCTGGCCCCCTGGGACGACCGTGCTCGTGCTCAGCACCTCTCCTAGCTGCTTTAAGTCCACTACCTTGTTTGTTTAAGGAAGATTAGCAACGTAAAACCCTTACAACATCCTGAACACGCAGCGAAAGGGAGATGCGACGGGGAGGACAGCAGAAGAGAATAGAGATTGATTGGCAAAAAGATAATGAAGGAGATGTGGGACAAGGACCTGTTAGAAAAATACAATTACACTGAACATGTGTTAAAATGTGTTTAGAGTGGTGCTTCTAAGGGTCTCTGGTTAGTCCCTTATTATTCTCGTGATGCATTACAGAATAGAAAACAAAATAATGAAACTTGAATTTTAAACTTTACCTTTTAAATCCATGTCAACTGTGAATATTTCGTGTCTATCACATAAGATCCTCATCAAACATAGTTGAGCTTGTGGTGTTGAAGAAATGTGAAACTAAAAGCTTTTCCAAGGAATTGTAAAGCTTCCGTTGAGACTTTTTCTTGGCTGTGTTTTTCTGTGTGATATACATTTATGGCCTCTTAAATGCTCAGTGATGGCACAGGTCTGGGTGAATGTCTCCTCCGGGTTGTGTGAAAGTGTCAAGTGAACTTTCATCTTATTTAGACGGGTCTCCGTATATTGTTATTGTATCTGTAAAATGGTTATGAGGGGAGATCTACTACACATAAAATATTGCCTTTAGAAAATAAATCAACTCCCTCAGGCTCAAGGCTATTTGTTACAGATATATTTAGTTTTATGTATCGTTACACATGGTCAGGTTTTTCATTATCTTAATTTTTTCAAACTAACACCTAAATAGAGTTGGACTGCAGCAGTTCAGGTGGGTCACAGGTGTGTGTATGTGTGCGCGCTCTTAGCTGTGGCAGGAAACAGATGTGCAGTGATATCATCGACTGCACGGGTCTGGGAGTCTATCAGCAGTGACCAGCCTGCCGTCTCACTGCGGCGCTCCACTTCCTGTGGGCTTAAATCATGCCCATTCATGATAAGGAGATTTGTGACCACTTGTGCTCATTGGCAATAATCTGGGAGTCCCCATTTAAAGAAGCGGCAGATTAAACAAGACAGCAGGTGAAACACTGCTGGTAATTTTGTGTTTCCGGTCCTACAATTGTTTCTGTCAAAGAGTTAAGTTGTAAATACATTCTGGAACAAAAGTTTGGGTCATGCCTGTGAGAGCAGGAAGTAAGGGTCTCTCTAACCCCACTGAAATTGTTTTTTTTTTCTCTTTACAGCCCCTGCCCAGAGCAAGGAATGGGGGATGAATTTAATCTCATGGATCATTCAGACTTGTACATTTTAGACTTCAGTGAGTATCCTTGTTGTATTTTTGTTTTTTTCTTCCTTCCGCTTGTATTCTGTTGGTTAAAAACCTGTTCTATCAAACACATTCAGATGTCCTTAACTTTAATAATGGTTATTTTAGAAGCTGAAAATTAGTTTAGAAAAAGCAAAACTAGACTGAAAATAGTTAATTCTGATACTTTGCCCTCTTATGGCACAGCTTCATTTCTCACCAGACTCCTTGGCCTTGGCCCCGCTTTGTGCTTTCACAGCAGGCACATCCGTCTAATGGACAGCCAAATATAGTCATATATCCTGCCTGCATAGGACTAGCTTGTAGGGCTTTCTGGTCACAGTTTGGCTTTGTGTAGGTGGGCTTGCACAGGGACCGGCTGTACCCAGTGGCATCCCCTGTGCCATACACGTCCCAGTGCCAGTCACGTGTGTCCTCACTCTGTTCACCAGTGAGCATATGGTGAAACAGCCATGACGAGGATACTAAGAGGAAGTTTGTAGGTAAATTTAGAAGGCAGATTTGTAACAAGATGAGTTCACACTTGCGTCATTCCCCTCGTATGTAAACCTCGTTGTTTGTTTCTGTTTCCGGTTTTCTATCTATTGTACTCCATAGAGAAGAAATATATGATTTTTAAATGTGTATAACACAGTATCAGATTGATTTCCCGCAGCTGAAATCTAGTGTGAGTATAATTAGTAGCTCTGACTCACTTTCTCTCTTTTTTGCAGGCCCCAATTTGAAGACATTATGCAAAATAGCTGTTATTCAGTACAGTCTGGAGCAGTCAGGACTCCCACATGATATCAGGTCAGAGATGCATCCTCCTCTCGTTAGTTCTGTTTTTTCACTCAATCGATACATTTTTGGTCCTTTTGTTTGTATTATGCTTGTCACTCTCAGTAATGAGGTAATTTATCAGAAAGGGAAATTATGGCTCATTATCCTTCATTCACATTGCGGCGTACTAATGTACATTTTACGCAGAATTATACCTCAGCTAAAAACGGAAGTTTGTTTTTTAAAGGAATCAAATAATCATAAAGAAACAGTAATGCAGGCTGTGACGTATTTAGTGTGAGCCTTGTACCTTTTTGCATCATGCAGATGATTCTTCATTGTATGGAAGAATAAAGATAAAAAAACTGGTCAACGTATAAAAATGTAAACGTATTAGAACATAGTGGCAGCAAGGAAAGTGAAATAATGGACTCCAGGCACAACTCCGCTACTTCTTGAACTTAAGGCGGCTCTTTTGTTTTCTTTTTTTCCTACTGAATGAATTGATTAATCCAGGGGTGCCTGGATTAGTCAGACACACCTGGATTAATCAGTTCACCCAGTAATGAAAGACAGGAAAGGTTCTGCGTTTTCTCTTGAGATTTTTACAAAACAACCTTTTGTATGAACAAAACAGTTTTATGGTGTCCCTATAGTTTCACCTAACTCAAAAAAAAACAACAAAAAAATGTTTTTGTTACCATTGTTATTTTACTCTGTGTTGCTAAATCAAAATTAGTTTTAGTCTTCCCTTGGTTATTAAACAGAATATTATGTTTTGTCATTCTGCTCCCTCAGTATGAGTATTATATTATTATATATATATATATATATATATATATATATATATATAATATTATATATATCGAGATCATTTGGCCCATTTTCTTAGGTAGATTAGACAATTAGTTCAACAATGTTAATGCCCATAAATTTTCTTTCAGCCAGCTGACTGGCAATGCTCTGCTACAAATATGACACAACATCCTGTATATCTACATTTAATTTGTATTCAGTTATTTATGCAGCATTTATACAGGAAAAAAAAAAGTATTAAATCTTTAAAAGACAAATGGATCCACTTCAGATTTGTTCCAATAGAACCATACAGTCAAACTCAGATCATCCAAACGCATAACCACAATTGGTTTTTGTAGTCATTGTAGTCTGACAGGAAAGTAGGACGAGTAGTACGAGAGAGGGGGAGAGAAATGCGGCAAAGGACCACAGGCTGGATTTGAAAAACGGGTTGGCCACCTCGAGGACTAAAGGGCTGGTTATACTCCCTCAGAAGTCTGTCGTGGTGAAATTGTCACAGATATTTTTGATTTATGCCCAATATTGAAGCGTGGTCTGCGCTATGTTATTCCGCGCCACAATGCAAAAGAGATGATCACGAATTAGCTGTGAGTCTAGATACTCCCGAGGCATTGAGGAAGTCGGGGCAAGTTTGTGCGACAATGGAGGGACATAAGGGCGAAAAAGAGCAGGGATCGTGGTGGAAAAAGGGTCCTAGCGTTCTTGCGCACCTCGCTCTTCTAGCTGGTCCAACTTCACGAGTCGCTTTCCATGACGGTCATACAGTAAAAAAAAAAAATGGTAAGGTACCAAGCAGGAAATACGCATAGTGTAGAGTGGATGTAGATTTGACCAATCAGAGGCCTCCTGTCTGCGGTCACCTACAATTTTGGAGAGGTGTATATATGTTAATTGGTTAGTATAATTTTAAAGTCGTTTTTGTGTTTTGGGGGCTCTTATGCAGAGATTAAAGTATTTTCAAAAATGTTAAGAATAAAACATTTAATCTATGTATCCATCTCTCCACCTTTCTATCTAATCTATCTACAAAGTTGAAATTTGAAAATGTAATAACATGAACAAGAATTAAACTGAGAAATATGTTGAAATTAACTAGAGATTAATTATCTTAGCCTAATTGTAGCTTGCACTTTTTGAGGCAAGTGTGTCTAAAACTACGACCGTCTGCTCTCTTTTTTTTTTTTTTCACGTTTGTCCAGCGGAACTTGATACTAATTACGCCTCTTAACCTTTCATTTCTCTTGCATCATCACTACCACCTTGCATGCTCCCAGCTTTGGTGTTTGCATTTGTGTTTCTAACCCTTAGAGGGGTTTCCAGTTGGGGTCACAAGACTTTAGTTAACTCCCTTTTGCCTCGCGGTGGCATCCCCAACTCCAGTGCCAATCTCCTCTCTTAAACACACGTGCTCACAACAAAAAAACGAACAAAGCAGTTGAGAGGGAGTGAGTGTGAAACCAGAGCCAGTGATAACAATCTGCAGCTCAACCTCTGACCTGTCATCAGGTCAACGCTAGACCCTGTTTTCAGCTTCTGCTCCTGGTGCTCATGTTACAGTCGGTTTGTTCCAAACGCCTGCCTCTTTATTTAGATGAATTAGAGGAGGTGATGAGGGCGGCACAGCAGTAGGTTTGCAACTTTTTCTATATTTTAGAATATGTTTTTTTGTTCAAAATTGTAAGAGAAAACAAAACAAATTCCAGGATAGAAGATTAAGATTAAATAATGCCCAGAGCTGTAGGGATGTGGAAAATGATTATTTAATTTCATTATTTGTGTAAAAATCAGTCTGTGTTCCATAATATATCTATGGTAAAATGTATGACATTTTGTAAAATGAAATGGGTAAGAAAGTGACTAATGGTGGTTAAGGAATATGCGAAGATGCTAAACGTCCTTCACAGGATGTTGTGATTACAGCCGAAATAAAAACCAGTTTCTCTTTTTCAGCAAAAATCACATTTTGTAAAAACACAAGCAAATCTTTCTCCTGTCTTTACCTCAGATGGGAGCTGGCGGCCATGACGACCAACAGCAACATCAGCAGACCCATCTTCTCCTCGCATGGTTGATGCAGCTGCAAATGAAACGGAAACCAGGACTCTGTTTCGGAAAAGCTGGACCTTTTTGAATCTTCCTCGTTGACTAAAACTTCAAAGACTGCATCTGATTTATTTTCTGCATTCTTCAAATGGAAACTCATTGCTGACTAAGCTGTCCTGGGCGTTAAACTTCAGTGGACACATGGGCCTTGCCCTGCCTAAGGATATGTTTTAATCCTTGACACTCTGGTTGTGGGAGATGATGCTTATTCAGATTTCCCTCTTCTTTCTAGCCCTTCTAGGAGCCCAATCAGCCTATGATAATCATAGACATGCAACCTCCAAACTGAAGCACAGGAATTGACAAATATTTCAACCAAAGGTGTTGAGAAATAACTTCTTTTGAAGATGTCATGAAGATGTCAAGCTCCTTGAAGAAACAACCTGTTACAGATAAAAAAAAGACTGATAATGAGTGATAATGAGCTTTAAGCTCAATCAATAAACATTCTCACATTCAGAGAAGGACAAAGAATATTCAGGACTATAATCCAGGAGTGCTTTGCTTGCAGAACGTCTGTTTTTCCTTTTTCTTTCTCTTCTTTCTGGTTGGGTTATTTCTCTACAACATGAAAGCCTCTTTGCTGCTTTAAAGTGGCACCTAAATGATTTACAAGACGGCTAAAGAAAGCTGTAAAATAATCAAGGACATCTACCTCCCTCTAAAGTATTTCTCATTGGGTCTTTAACACCTATACATTCGACACCTGCTAGTCCCCACAGGAAAAAAAAGAAACTCTTTACACTGAAGTTGCAAAGATATTGTAATGAACCTGCTGCCTAACCTCTTTAACTTTAGAGGATTTCAATATCAAATGCAGATGAGATCATTCAGAAGTGCAGATATACACATTTTTTTTGTGTGTGCGTAAAGGTTGAAAAACATCTTTTAAGGAGATCATCACTTATATACTGACACAAGTTCTTTTTTGTAGACAATCCTACAGTTTTCAGAGAGGCACCCTCAGAATGCTTAATCTATCAAACAGAGCGAAAGCAAAGGAAGAAAATGTTAAAGAAGCTTAGAATGGAACCGTTTGTTCATTTAAAAAATGAGGCTGAATACACCAAGTTAATAGTTTTTGTTGACATCCCAGAAAAAAGACCAAAACAAACTGTGCAATGCCATTCTTCCTGCCTTGCTGTAGCTGTTTCTTTCCTCCTGAATGTTGTTTAGTAAACCACATTGAGTATGTGGAAGCAGGACAGTGTACAGTTTGTCTTATACTGAATCATTTCTCTATTTGCTTTTGATCTGTGATCAGAAGACGCAGAAAGTCACATCTGTCCTAAAGCTCTGAAAATAGAGAGCCATTCTGTATTATTTGAATATGAGGATTAACTGGCTAGAAGATCTAGAAGAGTTATTCCCCTTTTCCTCCATTTTTTTCTCCAACTTCAGTATCAAATCCAGTCGTGTAGACTGACTGGATTTGATAGCCTCTAAACTTTAGATAGATCCAGTCTCAGGCCTCATGGCTGCATCATCCACCCTACCTTAGGGACCAAGAGAAGCTTTGCTTTCTGTCTTGACATGCATCAGTTTGCTCCTACAGTGAGGCCACTTGAATTTATGCCCTAAAATAGCAGCTGCAAATTCTTACACTTTTTAGAAAGATTCATACTTTAATATGAGTTCATGTATTCAGCAGGAACAAACAAAATAATGTTTTAAGGAATAATTGATTTAACCAAAATCCCTGGTGGCATAATAATTCTTACTAAATCATATTTGATTTTAATCTCTTAAGTTTATAGGATTCTCTTAAAAATGCCACATGAGTCCTTATATAATGCACGGCATCCTGGACTCTTATATGGAGCAGGTCATTTTATCTTTTTTTTTTCTACGAAAAAGTGAAATTAGCTGATCACCTGGTTTTTTAGGTTAATAATGTATTATAACAGGTGAGGAAATTAAGAGAGAAATGATTTACAAGACATAAAGACAATCTTAGTCTGGGAACTAAAATGCTTACAGAAAACCGATGATCAGAAGAGACTGTTCAGAGGGATGATTGGAGATTCCTTTCTGCTCCAAATGCTGTTATGTTGATAAAAAGTATGTTAAAGTATTAACACAGAGTTTTCAGTATGTGATCTACCAGTTATTTATGCTATTGTTAATTTTAAAGCATTTTGCATCACATAATCATGAGTGCCGGTTGCATAACATGGTGCATGCAAGGGAAATCGAAAAAAGGCTCTTGACTCCTGAACATGAAGATTTAACACCTCTGACAGCCATCGTTTAAATGTTTACAAAACAGAAGCAGTCCTAAACAATCTGTAAGCTGCAGCTTGGAGTCATCAGATAACTGCACTATAGCCAACTGTGGCATTTCTGATCTTACACAGACGAGACATTGATGCTGCTTTTTGCCAAGGTAGACTTCAGATTTTGAGAAGTGAGCCTACACACGTACCAGTTCACACTTTATTTACAGACCAGCAGTGCCAATGTGACCCAGCGAGTCCTATGCTTCTTGCACTACAAACATGTACACCTAATACATTTACTTAGAGGATTATAGAAATAATGAAGCAGTGAAATCACATGTAAGCCTATTTTGTTTGCATAAAGAAAGTAAATCTCCTTTTATGACATCGTATGACTGCTAGCAAAACAGAGATATCCATTTTTGTCTAAAATAGTATGAAAGTTAAAATATGAAGACTTGTTGCCTTTTGAAGATTCTGAATGACGGGGATATTTGTTCTTTAGAAGAAGTACACACTAAAAGAAAGCAGAGGCAAAAGAAGTACCTGGGATGTCTCCAGTAATGCTCAGACATATGCTGTGGTTACACTTGTAATGCAAAAATTGCAGTTTATGATTCTCCTGTTGTGCTTTTTTTTAAACATTATGACAAGCTTAAGGGTTGGGGGGTGGGGGGTATATCTGACAGCTAGTGTGTTCTTTAACATGGTCTGGGAAAAACGAACAAAGTATGGGGTGTTTGTGTTCTTTTTACAACTGCATTGGCTCTTTATTCTGTTTTTATTTTTCACAATTGTTTTCAAAGGGGATTCTTTGTGTGAAAAGGGTCGGCAGGACCTCCTGTGCAATATGCTTTATAAGTGTATCAATAATAAATTGAAAACACTTAAAGGTGATTATTTTTGTTGTCATGAGGATTTTTTTTATTATGTTTGTTCAGCATGAGCACGAGTTTGGACTGAAAAGGTCAGTATTAGGGCTAAATCAATTAATCCATTATTGAAATAAATGTCAACTAATTTAGTAATCGATGAATCGTTTACTGGAGTATGTAGACTCTAAAACATTACTTTAGCTGACAGAGAAACTTACTTAGAGCAATACTTATACCAAAATTGTAAAAAAAAAAAAATATGTACACATTTTCTATTTAAGATTAAGAAAAAAAAATGTTTTCGTCTTGTCAATATACTCTATCCTAAGGAAGAGGATTAGGGCCACTGAAAAAAAAAAGTTAACTGATTTTTTTTATTTTTATTTCAGTTTAACATGGGAAAAAAGTCAGAATTCTGACTTAAATCTCAGAATTCTGACTTTTTTCTCAGAATTCTGACTTTTTTCTCAGAATTCTGACAGGTAACAAACATGTTAGCATCAAGCCATAGCCATGTCTGTTTTAGAGACTAGCTCTCTTGTTTTAATGACCTTCTGCTCCTCCATTAATGAGGGGACCCCTCGGGCACGTAAAAAGTTGCCTAATTCCGTCATTTTCCACCAATGTGTCACTGGCCACCTCAAACAATTCACATCTTTGTGATTGAAGCGGAGTGCTCCCACATCTCTTCCTTCATGGTGCCCATCTACATTAAGATCCAAAATTCTAAGATTTAAGTCAGAATTCTGAGAAAAAAGTCAGACTTCTGAGAAAAAAAGTCAGAATTCTGTATTTTTTCCCATATTAAACTGAAATAAAATTTAAAAATAAGTTAACTTTTTTTTTCAGTGGCCCTAATCCTCTTCCGTACTATCCACAACTCCTCAGGTCGAAAAGTTTAAGTTTCACATGTAAAAAATTAGCAAAAATGTTTCTTTAAGGAACCTTAAACATTTGGCTCGACAGATTAATCGATTTGCAAAATAATCCTTAGTTGCAGCCCTAGTAAGTATGTAATGTTTAAATATTTTTTCTGTATAGGTTGACAATGTTTAGCAGGAGAATAAGTTTGCCATAACAAAACACTTCAATGGTTCAACTGGGATTTTACATGTACATCCATTCAAATTATTCCATAATCATAAAGTGAAAAGAGGCTTTGGGAAGTTCAGAGTTTAGATTATGGGTCTATAACCTAACCAAGCTTAAAACTCCATCTGCAGGCTGCTGTGTTTCATCATCCTTAGCGTTTTATTCACCAATGTTTTGTAAGAAACAACTTTTGCAGCCTTCACAGAACAGCTGGATCTATTTAATAGAGGCAAACTCTGTTCCCTTTTTTGACGACTTATGAAAGAAATTGGTTGAACTCGATTTTATTTTGGGACAACAGAATAAACTAGCCTAAATACAAAAGCACATTTTTCAGGCTTCCGTTTTATAAAAAAAAAAAAAATTTTAAAGCATATGTCTGTTTCCTTCCACCTTTCTATGCAGTTGAAGTTTTTGTGCATTTTTCAAGGTCTAAAAAATAACTGATGGTGATTAAGCTGGAAAATTCAACACAGGACTTCAAAAAGACAAGATGAAAAATACAAAGACAAAATAGGTAAAAGGAATTAAGAATTTTACCCTTTTAAAAAAAGTTCAGGTATGATTAATTTTATTCTTCAAATATTCAAAAAGGACCTGTGAATTTTTAACAAAAACAGTGCAATCTCTGGCTGAGAATGAAGTAATTCAGAATGTATTTATCCAAGTCAGGTTTGCTACTGCAAAAACCTCTTTATGGAATTTTTTTATTATTCAGAAGAAAAGGAAAAATAATTGATTCAAAGCCAGGAAAGTTTCAAGAATAACAAATAAAAAAGGTGATGGATGACATAATCTGGGTCATATTGAGAGTTCTACTGAGATAGTTTAAGATGACTTAAAGTTGGCCGCAGGTGCAAGAAAGGTCACTTAAGTTTCCCATCTAAAAGTAGCGGATGGGGCAAAATTTCCTACAGGTTGTCAGGACTGGTAGATCAGGAAAAGCTGTATGGAAATGAATTTATTTCAGACAAAGGTCTAGTTACACCAGCTGTTATTTTTTGATTAAATATTTAATTTACTGACTAAAATGTTCAGATACATACAGTGAGTAGAAAGAAAATCACCACCCTAGTTTTATTTTTTAAGTTATATTACCTTTACAACAACAAATGTCTTATTTTCACGCCCACAGTTCAAGTGCAATTAGATCTCTTCCCATAGATCTTTAGAAATTAGGCAAAAATATCTTAAGGAAAGGATAAAACATAAATTATACAGCCTCTTTTAGAAATATTAAACACAGAAACCCCTCCTCTAAGTTCTTAGAGAAATTTAACTGCAAATACAAACTTGATAAATCCTGTTCTGTTTCTTCTTAACTTAGTTAAATCTGCTGTTATATAGACTGCATCTTTCTGTTTCAGAACAAAAGCACCTTTAAACCCTTTTCAAGCAGAACTTCTCCTCCCTGCTGAGAAGCAGCAACATCTACTCCAGCAGCCAGTCTGTCTGATAGCCCCAACCGTCTACTTCTGTGGGTACTTCATGTAGTCATGGTGTCACCCACCCCCTAACTGGTCATTAATGATGTGCGAGCGGCTGCTTAGATAGAGGCCTCATCATGTCTAACCCTGAACCCCAGCATTCAGCGGTGGCCTGGCAGTTTGATCCTGTCTGTCACCAGCCGTGTGCTATAAAGCCAGCGTTATCTGCTGCGTTAAGTGCAAGCCACAGACGGAGGGTCAGCTTAAAGTGAGGCAGCCGAGACACCCTGTCCCGCCTGGTCCCACCGCGCACAGGAAGCGGGGCTGCACCGGGTCCCCCTCGTCTGGCCTCGGAGCCTTGCTCAGCCCAAAAACACAGGCGCTAATGTGGGGAGACACTCGGGCAAATTACTCTCTAATTTCCCCCCAGGACTCAAATGATCCCACCGGCACTTGAGAGTACGGCTAAGGATTTGTCCTGAGTGATTTGTTTTGTCTTGTCCACCCATATCACTGTCCAGTTCCTTCACTCAAGTTCTAGTTCTCTGCTCCCAGCACTGTGGGGTCACCAAATTGGGAATTTCACAACAGAGGTAGTGAAGGAGAATTTATAATTACCAGCAATTTACATTAAACTCACGATAAGGGAAAGAAAGCTGTTAGAAGCTATTTTTATTAAGCAAAACTGGGGAAAAGCTGCCTTCCCTTTAGATGTCATATTCACAAATATAACTCTTTTTGGATGAGTGACAGATTTTTTATAAAATGCCAACTTTGTTGTCATATTGTATGAAACCCATAATCTATTCATCTGCGAAAGGATCCAATTTAGTGCAAGCGACAGTGTTGCTCAGCCTCAATGCGTCATGATTACAGACCTGTAGCTTAATTCTCCTCCAGCAGGGGTTTAATTGGGTGACTAATGCGAGCACAGCTGAAGTTTTTGGAAAACAAACTCCCAAAGCTCACTGCCTCAAAAAGCTCCTTGATAAACTAAGCAGCGATGCAGCAAATAGTTATTTTCTGGAAGATTTGAGTGATGTTGACTCCAAAGTTTAAGTATGGAGACAGAGGAGGGCTTTTCTTTCCTTTCTTAATACCTTAAACAAAAAAAAACTAACATTCTTATTTTTTTTGCTATATTCACTTGGTTACTTACTGAATGGATGTTTTATTTCATATAACCACAATACAAACAATAGAGTGTAGTGAAAAGGATTTTTTTTTAAATTCAAATGCAACTTTGATATAAAAAATAAGCTATTTAAATAGGAAAAAAGCATATTTTTAAATGAAACTGATTTTCGATTGCAGAAAATTTTGAAAAGCAATGGTTTTATTTATAAAAGGGTTTTGCAACCGTCGGTCACAACAACTACCTTGCATATGTACAGAGGAATAGGTTTCCTATCTTTTTTTTTTTAACTTTGAAAAGTTATGAGAATTCGGTGACATTATAGGGTCATTTAAACAAGCCATTTAAAATCAACCCTCCTACCATCTCAGTCATATGTAAATCCTGGCTTTGATCAGGCCTCTCCCAAACCTTTACTTTTGTTGCTTCAGCCCTTCAGATGGATTTTGCTGGTGTTTCAGATCATTGTTCTGATCGATTAACCTGAGCTTAAGGTCACAAGAGAGTAAAATTGATGGCTCCTTATTTAAGGTTAAGCGCTGTTCCGCGTTTTCTCCTTTGTGAATAATGGTTCTCACTTGACTTTCCTGGAGCCCTAAAGCCTTAAACACGGCTTTGACATCTACCAGTCTGAAATAGGTTACAGAGATTGCTCTTGAATTTATTTCTTTTCAAATCTCCTGACCTGCCTCGTTTTATCAGAAAAATTCAATCCTAGTGATTCTGTGTAAGGCAGCTTTGAGGCTGTGAAAGACTGAATTTAAAAATCTGGTTAAAAAACAGTTAATTCATGGTTTAAAAAAAGAGCTACATAATTTTTCACATGACCAATTCTAGTTTGGATCGTTTGTTTTCCCTGATGTTCTCGGTACATCAATTGAAAACTTGTTGAATGATCTAAAACATTTAAATGTGACAAAAAAAAAAGCAAAACTGATTAAGATGTGAGGGGGAAACATTTACAACACTGAATGTTTGGCAGGATTAGACTTTAAATTACTGTAGTTCTAGTCCATTAAAGATTGAAATATAAAAATATACATGTATATTTTAGTTAAACTTGTTTTAAGAAATAAATACATATATATAGATTTATTTTTTTACAGTAAAACCTATTTAGATCGTTGCTAAGCCAGCCAGTTAAACATATATTATTATAACTATGAGCAATAATTCTTTGGATGTTCCACTACTTTATTGTTCCAACCAGAGATTCACACATCCAATTGAAAAGGAAGCCCTCCATGCCCACAGGGAAACATAGTAGTGTTTGTAATTGTCTGTAATTTACATTTATGCACTATTTTTGCACGCCAAGTATCACTTTACTTGGATTTTCACTTTACTTGGACTCAGTTTTTACATATGCATATAGATATACAGCTATATGTGTATATATTTTATCTCTTTTTTTATTTTCTATTTTTATCTTTACTCCCTCTGGGATTATTAAAGTATTTCTGATTCTGATAGTGGCAGCAACATGCTGTGGGGATCAAGGAAAACTAGAGCTTAATACAGGACAGTTTTTAAGGGGGAATCATGCTCTGTTCCTGGGCTATTCTAATGCCCCAGGACCGGCTAGACCCTAAATCCAATTAAGTCAGTCAGAGAGTTTAACAAATTTTGAATAGACCAACCTCGGCTCCAGCAGATGTTAAATAGGTGATCTGTTTCAATAAGAACAGTGCTATACATAGGCCTGCTGTTCTTTAAATCAGTTTAATCATTACATGGTATATACGAGTTCATAAAAACAACTAACACAATAATAGCTTAGTTTCTGTGTTAATTATTTGAAAGATTTAATGAAAAACAAACCGTTTTACCTGAAACATAGCCATATGATTGGCCTTCAGACTTCATCCATCCAATAAATCAAGGTTGACATTTTCAGACTAAATTATTCTGTACTGAGTGAGACTTTTTCTTGTAGATCCTGTTGTAAGAGTACCAAACTATTCAACACTAATTAAACCACTTTTAATTCAGGGTTACTGGAAACCAGTGTGTCACCCAGCATTATCAAATAATGATAAGCATCAGCCCCTTTCCCAATCGTATGATCTGGAAGTGACCATGATAATGAAATGATCCATATCAACTGGAAAAGAGGCCTGATAAAGCAATTGTTTGCTAATGTGATTATTGCAGACACCGGTGTTTAGAATAATTACAGGTAAGTGATGGGTACATTTTAAACAACTGCTGTTGAAGAAAAAAAAAGTTAGGCCAAAGAAAAAACTAATTCGGTAAGATCTGTGAATTAAAATAATTAGATTAAATGTACAAACTAGGTGAGGAAGAAAATACTAATGACTAAGCTGTTAACACACATGCACTCAGCTCCTGTTACAAAGCAAATTGTTGCAGAACCACGATGGTTTAAGTCTAGTTACCTGATGACCGATGTTGATTTGAACAGGAGTTTGCATGTTTATATTTTTAAGTGCTGTAACATACAGTTTTGACAGCAGCCAATCAATCAATAGAAATATTCAGTTGTAATAATTCAAGCAGACTTTTTATTTAGTCTGTTGCTATTATGACAGAAGTGACAGCCTTGCTGAGATGAGGGGGATGGATCAGATCAGTTTGGAACTTCATGGACCTTTTAACTCGGCTGACTGATGTCTGCCCAATGCTACTTGTTCCATTATTGCCGCTGATGGCTTCCTGCTTTTACAGATGACTTCTAGTTTTTTATTGTGATCAACATTCAACTTTTTTTTTTAGAGCCATTAGTCTGCAGACAAAGTGATTTGACTGGTTCACACATCCCCTAAAGCATGTTTACCTGCATGTATCTTTGATAAACCTGTTTCTGTGAGGTAATCAACTTGGTGCTTTTGTCGTGATGTTTTAAAAGTATAGTCCTTAAACTGTTGTCTTTTTTTTTTTCATTCTTTTTTAATTCTCATCGTTTTTCTGTTTTTGTTTTTTTCAACCAAGAGAATTTCAGCATAAATCTGGCAGGAAAACATCTCCCTCAAGCACGGCTTTGCTCTCAGATAAAGGCAGTGTTGTTTTTCAGCCGCAAGAAAACCTTAAGCTGATATTGTTGCATATATATTATGAGAGGCATTAATAAATCCTTTTGCTTGTAAAGAGTTGCACTTCACAGCAGTGATTTGTGCCAGAATGAGGTCCTGGGCAATAGTTCTTCCTCCTCACATCCTGCCATTCTACACAGTAGTAAACATTTTACTGTCGTAAATGTTTGTAATGTCATAATTATGTTATCTTATTGACTAATATTATGGATTTCTAATAATCCAGTGTAATAGGTTGAACATGGCCAAACATATAGGAGATAGAAGATGAGCCTGAAAGTATGATTCATTAGCCATCCGCCATCTACAAGGTGAAATTCAGACAGTTTTTTTAATGTGCACAACCCTCTTTATTCTTTTTCTGACATGCAAAATAAGCAACAGAAAATGTGTTAGTAGCAATGGACTTATATTTATTTTTCAAGCTCTAATCTGGCTTCCCTTATATTTCTTCATATTTGGTGATTGGGGTTGTCCACAACATAATCTACCACTACTTTATTGCTTATTAATATTTAATTTTGTGTTGCTCTAATATTGAATGTTATTTGAATAATGCTTTTATTATTTAACTGCAAAATCAGACATTTAAAAATGACATATATTTCCAGATTATCTATGTTTTAGGTTATTTTTTCCCAATAGATCCTACTGCAGCAGCAGTAGATACAATTGTGTTTCTCTAAACTGAACTGTTTTTCATATTTAGCCTATTTTTTTTTTACAGTGCATTTTCTCTGTTATATCTCTCCAGATATATCAAGTATTTGATAATTATTTTAATAGTAACCCATAATTACTAGGCATTCAAACATTTAGCTTTCACCTCCAATCGTTTTGTGACCCTATGGCGCAATTTGAAGGCTTGCTAAAAGTAATAAAAACCTAATTAAGGCAATAAAAGCACGATTTTAGACACATAAAGTACCTAAATGTCCTCCTAGTTCAACATTTGACTTTCCTTAATTAAAAGAGAAACATTAATTCTGGTTCTGCCTGGAAAATAATGATATATATAAAATAGAAAATAATATGTTGGTTCAGAAAAAAAGAACTTCTTCATATCCTTCTGATCTGATCAAGAGTTATTTCATCCCTATATAAAAAAAAATAGGGTCCACTAAATATTTCCAGATCATAAGAACTTCCATAGCTTGTTTCTGTTTCTTTTTATGAAAAGAAACTTAAAATAAAATCCACTGTACTTTGTTTCCAAGTTGAAAGAAGCATTTTTAATTCAAAAAGTCAGGAATAGCTCTGAGTTTTTATGACGCTCCGTGCGTCCAGTCAGTCCGGTTATTATTAGGACTTGTTAAACTAAATATAACTCTCTATGGTTGGCTGTCATCGCGTCACATTTAAGATTATCGCGGAGTTTTCTCTCGGCGGGATGAGAGGTGTCGGGTTTGGGCTGGGGGGCTATAAAAGGAGGGGCGAGAACAAGTGGCTGAGGCGCATGAACCGCAGGCTGCGGAGGAAGGAGATGCAGAGGTTGCGGTTTTGACGCTCTTTACGTTCATTAAGCGGTTCGTCAAAAGTTAAGAGCTTTTTCTCACCAAGGAAACAACTTGTAGAGATCTTCCCCACAATGGCTCTTTGGTGCAACGCCTGCAAATGTGTTGTCAGCTCTCCGTGCACATCTCACCATCTGTCCGGAGACGCGCGGCGCGCAGCCAACAGTAGGTCCAGGTCAGTCCTTCCTCTCATCCGCGTCCTCCAGCTGCACGCTGCGTGCGGCTCAAAGGCTTTTCTTCATTTAAAACTTATTGAACTGATTCTTTCAGCCAGATATGTTTTTCATTTTTAGTAGGTTTGTGAAATCTGGAAAACTGATTTAACATTCTCTAAGGAAAATGCACCATGCACGGTATAAATAGATGATAGATTTTAAAGGTATTTTACATGATATACCAGCTTCACCAGCTTCTCAGTATGATGCTGCCACCACATTTATGGGAGTCTGCGAATGTTTCCCAGCTCTAGAGTATTTCATCTCCTCTGACCTTCTTTCAGCAGTTTGTTCTCTATTTGTTTCTTGGTGAATGGTTACTTCTTCATATTCATAAACGTTACATTTGTGGAGCAGATCATTAATAGTTGCCACAAAGAATCTCCCACCTGAGCTTTGGATCTTTGTTGCTCCTCCAGAGCAATCACAGGCCTCTTACCTGCTTGTCTTAGTGAATTGATGGATGCCCAAGTATTAGTCTTTTTCACATTAAAATGATGGACTGAACTGGTTTGAATCTTATCTTTCCACCTAGCATTGCCTCTAACTTGAAAAATAAATGCACGCCACACTTCCCAGCTTCATCTTTGCAAAAGAAAATTGTAAACTGCAAATTATATTGTTTTCTGCTTAAGTTTTACTCACTAGTTTTTGTAGGCTGATCATAAAAATGCTCGAAGGTAAATTAAGGTTCTTCACTGTAGTGAGTTAATCAAAACTTGGAGATTCTGACTTAATTATAGCTGACATTTTGCACTTCATGGTTTGCAAAACCTAAAGTGGAACTTTGAGTCCTCCTTCTCATTTACAAACTATAGACCCAATGGTGCTTTTCTTTTTTAAACAAAGTTGATTCTGTCACCTTCAAAACATTGGAATTTGATTCTGGAAAGTCTAGGGCTACTTTTTAGCAAAACTCTGACAGAAAAATGAAAAGCATAATAAAAGAACTGAAAACTGGTCAAATTAATTAAATGATTTATTGCTGTTTAAATATTAAGCTCTATTGGTAAATGCATTTTTAACTTAGATTAAATTATGCAGAAATATTCTATTTAATGATGATTTTGGCTTTAATTATGGTTGGATACAGAATGATCCCAATGTCCTTTTGTGGCACTCTGTGTGGTGTGACGTGGGGCACTCCTGCTCCAAGGACGCCCACTTTATAAGGCAATGAAGGGAGCATGAGAAGCCCAGCCGCCCCTCCTTTTCTGTGTGCGAGCCCACGCAGCTATAAAAACCCAAGGCTCTTTGAGGATGGACCCAGACAGACACTGATCATGCAGACTAAGTGTGTCGAGAGCCCTCATCTCTCCACTCAGCCTCTCATGTAAGCCGTTTCCATAGGAACCCCTTGATATTTAAAGTGGGCCTTAACTCGTAGGGAGAGGAAGGCTGGATCAGCTCAGGCCAAATCTTTTATTTTGTTTTCAAATATTATGATACCAGCTCAACTTTTTGAAAAGCTGCAGATTTCTACACCTCCACCTCTCATGCCAGCCAACATGGTCTCCCACAGGTCCACCAAAGGAGCTTCCAAAGCTCGGAGAGACCATATCAACCGTGAAATCAGGAATATGCGCTCTCTGCTTCCCATCACCCAGGAGGACCAGGAACGCCTTTCTTACCTTCACTCCATGGCCGCCATTTGCACCTACATCCGAAAGTCTGTACTCTTTCAGGGTAAGTTTCTTTAAACCTCTCTTATGTCTTTGAACACCTAATTTACATTCATGCTACATGGCGGAGAGCACTATGAGGTTCAGTTTAAAAGAGCTTTAGGAACAACATCAAAAAATACCAGATGTGACAATCTGCAGAGATCCAACCGATGAAACAAAGGCTGAACTCTTCTTTTCATCCTGAAGGGCTGCCGGCTGGGGAACGATCCCCGTGCTCTCTGCAGTATGAGGCCTTTCTGGAAGCCCTGCACGGCTTCATCCTCGTCACCACAGCTCAAGGCAGGCTGGTTTATGTGTCAGAAAATGTGGCTAAATACATTGGTCTGTCTATGGTGAGTCCTTAAGCATCACTTTTAGCTGTTTTTCTTCATAATATGCGTTGGTTTGTTAATATCCCCGCATGTTATATTTTTCCAGGTAGATGTTCTACAAGGAGACTCGTTTTATGACTTAGTAGAACATTCGGATGTGGACATTGTTAAGTCAAACCTCAACATGGGAAGCAACTTGTTTTCAGGTAATAACAGCTTGTTTTATTTCTAGTTTTCTTTTACCTCTGTTGCCAATGCTCTTTACACATCAAAGGGTTGCTGTTGGATTTAGTTCCAGGGACTAACAATGATAGATGATCAATCTTGTTTCTAATTAATCTTTTCTGTGTGGGTTTGTTTGTATGTTTTGCAGGATTTCTGCACAGTTTGAAAAAAAAGTATTTTTCACGTCTAGATTATTGGAAAAAAAATCAACTATATATGGAGTAAACGAAATAAAAAGATCAACATTTTAACTCAAGATGATATTTTACTGATTGCTTTTGGATTTATTTTTTTGGGCTTCTTGTTTTTTAGTCATGGATTAATCAGTTTGCAACTTTATGTTCTGCAAACAGATTAAATTTTTGGATGGTTTTAAAGGATTTGTCAGTTTGAAGTGATCCAGATTAAATAAGTGCAAGGATATAATGATGATATTTCAGATGTACTAAAAGAGATAATTAAGGAGAAATAGAGAAACAGCCCTTTATACTGCTTAGTTACTAACTATAGCAATGAGCAGTTTAATTGGTTTTAAACATGCAAATCAAACTGGAGAAAAGTTTCTTGCGTAGAAATCCAGGAGTTTAAAAATAGCAAAGAAATCAAAGTATCAGAATAAAGCAAGTTAAAACTGGAATATGTGTTTGGCCATATTTTTAGAGTCAGTTTTCCAGTAGACACCAACAGATGGCATCAGTTGTGGCTTGCATTGTAATATCACATGTAATGCAACGTCTTAACATGGAATTTGATGTCTTGATTGCAAAGTTTGTAGTTTATTATCCATTAAGACTAAAATTCTTATGTACTTTTTTGTCAGAGAGGAGCTTCGTATGTTGCATGCAGACCACAAAGGCCTTTAAGCTGCAGCATGGAAGCTGCTGCTCCATGTTGGTCAGAGGAAGCTTCCAGTTCCTCCCTCAGCCCTCTTCTACAGCCTCCCCCAACGCCGAGCCCTTGTTTGTTGCCCTCTGCACCCCCACAGTAAATCGACTGACAGGCGCTGACTCTCACTTCTGTCCCAGCTTCAGCAGCACACACAGACTGGACATGAGTTTCACTCAGGTCTCAGAAAGGTAAACTAAAAACTCCACAACTCAGAGAAAGACAAGCCTGATTTATATTTTTCTGTTACTCCTTTTTTTTTTAACATAAATTTTTTTTATCTTTCAGTGTTTTATACTATGTGGGGTATTCAGCGGAAGAAATGATCAATCGATCATGGTACAACCTCTTGCATCCTGGAGATCTGTCATTAGCTGCAGCTTCTCATAAAAGTTTAAGTAAGTTTTCTTTATACTTTTAAATATTATGGCCATGGTTTCTAGTGGTAAATCACTTGTTTTTATCCTCTATAATAAGCATAGTTGTCTTTCTTCAGTGCAGGCAGAAGAGGGCTTCCAGGTAGAGATGATCCTGAGGCTCCAGTGCAGAGATCTGTCATGGACCTGGATTTATATTCGAGCTAACAAGGACCCAGAGTGCCAGAGCATCAGCTGCACTAACTACATCATCAGGTATGATGAACCTCTCATGCAACCCTTATCTGACAACGTTTCTGTTTCAAAACTCTCTTAACACATCTCTTTTAATCTCACAGTGAAACTGAGGCCATATTTCTGCAGAAGAAAATCAGCGTCTCTGCATTCAAGCCGTTGTCTGTGCCAAATTTCCTCTGTTCTGCTCAAGAGGTGCCTCAGAGTCAAAGCATCAGCGCTAAATGTTTTAAGAGGCGAAGGATGTGTAGCAGCCAAAGCGAGGAGCTTGAAGCCAAAACAAGAAGGGAGTCGGAGCAAGATGTTTTCTGTGCGTTGTGTCCCTCTTCACAAGGTAGCAGCTCTCCTGTTCCCCTGGAGGAGAACCCTGCACTATTTACACCTCCCTACAGCCCGGCCTCATCCAGCTCCCCTCTGCAGCAGGAGGAGCTCAACCCTGACCTCCTGATGGATGCACATGGATGCAAAGATCCACTGCAGTCCTCCCCTGAGGCCTCTCCCTCGTACTACTCCTACCAAAACGTAGGACTCTCCTGTCACCAATCACCTGCTGACTCTTTACAGATGACTGAACAAGAATTTGAGCGCAGAGACTTTGACATGTTCTCCTCTTCTTCCTCCTCAACCTCCCCAGTAACATTGTCCCAGAACTATGATTTCCAGGCTTGTTCAGCCAACTCTCGATTAGTTCCAGACAGTTTCTCCATGTCGGAAATGTGCGAAAGCCAAGTGGAGTGTGCATCCCTGCATCCAGATGATTTCAGCCTTCTTGATGACCCAACATGGGGCAGTCTTGTTCCTCCTCTTCAAATGCCCCATCAAGAAATTCTCATGCACTCCAGTATTCTGACTCCCATCCAGTCCCCTGTAGCACCAGAGCTGTATCTGTATGATGAGAGGGAGCAGGAGGAGATCAGTATACTAGCCCAGCAGATTTCCTCCCTTTTCAGCAGCTTCGACATGCACCACGGCCAGAATCCCCTCCAAAATGTGGCCCCAGTGGCAAATGCAGACTGTGATTTGCTTCAGGCCTCTCCTCTTCCTTTAACTCTGCACCCTAAGCACGAACCAGTTTATGATGACTGCACGCTGGACAGCATCCTCAAGGACCTGAATATGGTCTCAAGAAAAAGTAGTGCACCTAGCCCTGACATGTCCTACAGCTACCAGCAGGGCCCCGCTTCAGGGAACTCATTGCCTGCAGAGCAGCTCAGCAAAAGTAGCATTGCCTTAGATCCCTTCGGTGTGCAGCTGGGAAGCCATGACCAAAACGTTGGGTTGCATCAACTCAATCACTACATGCAGAGTAGCTTCCAGCAAGGTAAACATTTTCAACAGCCTAAACATTTTTATGCATAAATATTTTATTGAGAAAAAGTGTTTATCCCCTTACAGATTCCTGTTCCTGAAAAATATTTTTAAATAACCTTTTCTAGATAAAAGAAAGCTATCCAAACAATCTCACCATATTCAAAATATATTATTGTCCCCTAAACCAAAAAACTGGTTGCACCCTCTGCCATCAAGTGTTTGAAGTGACTTTTACCTTGTGGAGGAAATTTTGGATCATTTTTCTTTTATAATTGTTTTGATTAAGCTAAAATGAAGGTTTTTCCTGCATGCTTAAAGTCACGCCGCAGCATGCCGAATTCATCCTAACTATGATTAGGGTCGCTTTAAATGTTTAATTTAGTTTGGTTTGATTAATCCTTCAGAGGTGGAGCTGCTTGTTTTGCTTTGGGTCACTGCCCTGCTGCATAACCCAAAGTTTGGTTTAGCTTAAGGCCGCTAACTGATGAGCAACAGTCCTCCTAACAGCAGAATTCATGGTTCAAAGGTGGTTATTGATGCCCCAAAGCAGCAATGCAGCTACAGAGGATCTCACCACCTCTGACTATCGGCATGATGTTGTGCTGACAGTTTGAGTCCCAAACATTTCTTTAAACCTATTCTAGACTGATAGATTTCACTGACTCTGATTTGTTCTTCTATTTCTTTACTTTAATGGATCTTTTCTTAGTTTTTATGTCTTTAAAACTACTTTTTTAAGCCATTTCAAGATGATTTTTGATTGTTAAGGTTTTGCAGTAGTCAGGCAGAGTTTGGATTGTAAAACTGATTTAACAAGGGGGCAATTGCTTTGACACAAAAGCATGTTTGGTTTGGATAGCATCTTTTAAAAAATGAAAGTCTATGAAGAAATTATGTTTCATTCTGTTATCTATGTCTAAAATTGGAATTCATTTGATAAACAACAACAAAAAAAAAATCTGTAAGAGGGCAAATACTTCCTCAGATCTGTTGATTTACTATAGAACTACCTTTTACTCATGGTTCTGTTTGTCTCCTTGCAGATGGACTTGCTGAGGAAACCTTGTACTGAAATAAGTCTGTGACTTACCGTGCTACTACCCGTATGACATATTGTCAGGGCAGCCCTCCTAGGATGGATTCAAAGAGGATTTCAAAGTGGGAGATTGATGAGGGACGTCTGCAGTTAAATGCTGATTACTGTACCCAAATTAAACAGAGATAAATAGTTTTATTCTGTATGTCTGTACGCTGCAGCTCTGTTGTAGCTCCTCAAAGCACTGCTCTCTGGTGTGTTTTATGATTTGCTGATGTCTTTTATCCTAAGAAATAAAAGGTACTTTGTAATAATATCTCTGACATGAGCTACACACTGAAATGGAGGTATATTTTTCATTTAATACTAAGTGACCACAGTTTACATTAAGCACTTTATCAAAGTCACCGACGCAAGAATTTCATAAAAGAGAAGACAGGAACCGGTACCTTGATTTAACCAGGATAAGCTTTAACACATTAATCATTCCTTATTATAAACAAACCAGCTATATGTACTTTTCAGGTGCCTTAAAACTGTTATTAAAGATGTAGTTTGGTAAATTGATGATTTATTGATTTACTTCTGGAAGTGACATTAATGCTTTATGCTGTCAGGGATGGAGGTAACCAGCAGCAGGACAGAAATGATTGTAAATTCAGCTTCTACCTCAGTAGCAAAGCTCAACACATTCCAAGTCAGATCTTGTCATTTATTGTATTTATTCTGTTTTGAACACTGATCTCTGTTTTATTTATCTACAGTTGTACTGTTTTTTCTGTGTTTTATTGTATTTTTCCCATGGTACTGCAACCCTGTAGGTTTCTGTTATTTTCCACGATGTGTCATTTATGCATTTTTATTTTTTAAAATGTAAATAAATCAAATGTAGAAGACATTAGTAGACTTTTTCTGAGCCTTTTTTGATAAATTGTTTAAAATATTTCAAACTAGACTATTAAAATTTAACTCACAGCACAAAGCTAGGGGGTATTCTAAAAGAAAAAACTTTGATTTTGCCCCTTTTTTCATAAAAAAAAAAACGGTTTAACTTAACAGTTAAACAGTTAACTGTCAAAGTAATGCATACTGAGATGGAAAAATGAAGATGTTGATTTATTATTTCTCTTAATTATGTCTCCATTTAAAGAAAATGCTCTTTTTATCACTGCCTTAATAAAGTGTCCTGATTAGGGCAGAAACTGTTAATCCGATTAATTGTGATTAATCGATCGTTGAAATAACTCATTTAGTAATTGATTGATTATTAAATGCAGAGAGATTAAAACATACCTGTGGCTTACAGAGTGACCAACTTAGAGCAGTAATTATTTGAAATTTGTAAAAAAAAAAAAAAAAAATAAGAAAGTTTTGTATCTTCATCTGTCAATATGCTCTATCCAGAACTCCTCAAGTGGAAAAGTTTTAGTTTCCCCTATTGAGCCCTTTGGTATCCGATTATTAAGCGATTAATCACAAAAATTAGCAACAGATTATTCAATTTGCAAAATAATCGTTAATTGCAGCTCTATTCCTGATGACATAAAGGCCTGGATGTCTCTAAACTTTTTAAAATCTTAATGAAAAAAAAAGACTTTCTAAACTTTTTTTTTATTTTAATTTAAAAAAAATACTTAAGTGATGGTTTTTGGTGACACCACTGGACAGATCTGGGCTTTGTGGCCCAGCATATCACACCAATCGTCACTGACATAGGAGTAAAAGTGGATTAAGTTTGACAGCCGGATCAGGGCAGTTGTTAAATCAAGTTTTTATCATTCAAAACTGGCAGAAATAAAGCCAGTTCTTTCAAGGCAACAGTTTAAAATGGTAATCCACGCCTTTGTTGCCACTTGGCTGGATTATTGCAATGATCTGTATGTGGAGGTCAGTGCCTCCTCCATCTCCAGATGGTTCAAAATACAGTACCCCTTTTTAACCGGCACACTCCACGGGCTGCCCATGTATTTTAGAATTCATTTTAAAATGATTTTATTGGCTTTTGAATTCCTGAAGAGTCTTGCCCCACCGTACCTCTCTGAGCTTCTTCATCCTTATACACCTACTCGCTCTCTAAGGGCAGCTAATCAGCTGCTCCTGAGAGAGCTTAAAACTAAGCTTAGAGAGGACCACACTTTCCCTGCTGCAGCTCCAACACTCTGGAATGACCTGCTTCAGCACATCAGACAGGCCTCTTCTCTGACTGTTTTTAAATATCTTGTCAAAACCCACCTCTTCACTTTGACTTTTGACACTTAGCAAGACAGTGGGCTTTATTTTATACTTTTATTCCTTTTATCCTTTGCCAAATTGTATTGCTTTGATTATATGAATGTTACTTTTATCCATGTTTTAACTGTTTAGTCTTTCATCTGTGCTGTTTTATGTTTTATTTATTTTTCTGTACAACACTTTGTTCCGCTGTAGTTGTGTTATAAGTGCAAATAAAATTGGATTGGAATTCATATTTTGGTCATAGCTAGTTTATGTCAGAGTCGATCATTGCACGTCTTCATCTACTAAAAGCTGGGATCACCTGCTCGATTCTATCTTATGTGCATTTTGTAGCTGATGGGTTTGTCGGGTGAGAAATGAGAATGAAGCTGCAAAGCAAAAGCTGAGGAAAAAATGATTCCCTGTGGGTTCATACCCTGGAGTAAAATCCTTGGATTTACATGATTAGACTGAGCTCTATAACAATCATCATCAGCATGAAGGTCACATTAGATTCAGGCTTTTTTTTTTTTTTGACAGCGTTACAGGATTCAATAATAATACATCATAAAACTTTGATAATTTTCAAAAACATAAATAAGAGATAGATAATTTTATTTACATCACTTAGACTTAGAATACATGTATTGTCATTTTGTGTGACATTTCCATTTTCTTAAAGTGCAGCAGTGATCAAATGTAAACATAGTAAGAGAAAAAAAAACATGGTGCAACATTCTTAATATGTAGATATTATTTGAAGTAGCAGATCAACCACACGTTAATCTTTAGGCCACCCATAAACTTTTAATATAATTCAAGTTTGATATTTGTCTACCTATCTTGCCAGAGTTAGCAGCTTTCAACATTCATTAATTGTAGCTGGTTTCCTAAGCATAGTTTTAAAACATAATATTAAAGGTCAGAGTGAAACTCAACCTGAGTGACTTACTGATTCCAAAACTATTTTCCTTTATGTTTGGGATTGTTGTCCTTGCTGTGATTTTTAAAGACTTCTTCATTTTACTTTTCCACATGATGTAATCATACAGCACCCACAGCAGCAAAATGAGCCGATGGCATGATGTTTCTGCCACCATTTGTAACAATAGCATGTACTTTGGTTTAGAAAGTTCCCCTAAAAAGCTTTAATTTTTCCTCAAAGTGAGGAAAAAAGCAGGAAGAGTGGAAAAATTAAGGAAAATGACATTTAGATACTGAGGATAAAGTTTGCGAAATCATATTCCATTCTTATCCAGCCCTGGATGAGTCTTAAATTAAATTCCAGACTTTTTCAGACTTTGTGGAAACCCTGAATATCTTTAGATAATCAAAAGAGGGTTTGTATATATCTTACGTCTCTGATTGATTTTTACATCCTCTGGCAGGTCACATAAACTATACACAGAAGATCAATCCATGGCTGACCAAATCTGCAAAAAAATCAATGCATCCATGAATGAATATTTAGATAAGTGTCCCAACTGAATGCCAACGTGAGTGATAGATCCATATAGGCTGCAATAGGACGTAACACAAGCACACCTGGTTTATATGCATGAAAGCAGAGTGAAAAAACATGCAGGGGACGCTTACTGCTGGTCAAAACAACCACTAGATGGAGCAATAGCTTTAACTGCTTCAGTCAGACAACACATGACAATGATATAATTCAAACAAGGTTGAAATGAGGTGGATCGTATGTTTGTGTGAATGATCATGTTTTTATCAGCTTGTGGGAACAATTTTCCAGAATTATGCCACATCTTGGGAAACTCCATGAGGAATTATCTTCATTGGAACGTGGTTAGGTTTAGGTCTAAGAATGTGAATTGAGCTTAGGTTAAGTTTAGTGTTATGTATGCGTTGGTAATTATTTGGATAAAGGTAAAGGTCTGGGTTCGACCATAAAGATGAATGGAATTCAATGCAAAGTCTGCACAAGGATGGTGTGGCACAACGTGTGTGTGTGTGTGTAATGTGGCCATGTCTTTAATACCTGGTGGGGAAATTTCCTAGGAATATGCTGCATTTTGGGGACTCATAGGTACTTGTGGGGACCAACAACTGGTCCCCATAAGGAAAGTTTCTCTTCTTGGGGTGGGGGTTAGGTTTAGGACTAAGGTGTGAATTGAGTTTAGGTTAGGTTTAGGGATAGGTATGTGTCGGTAATGGTTAGGGTTAGGGCAAGGGTCATGGTTAGGCCATATAAATTAGTGGGAAATGAATGGAAGTCAATGGAGGGTCCCCACAAGGATATTGTGACACAACTGTGTGTGTGTGTGTGTGTGTGTGTGTGTGTGTGTGTTGGAGGGGTTGGTCTCCATTCATAGAAAGGAGTCCAGATGCCTGTAGTTATCCATGGAGACCTAATTAGGAGTGATGTGTCTTGAAGGGTACAATGGCATATAAAGTTCCTAACAATTCCCCACATCTGCTGTGTTACAGTCTTCCTGCTTCACTCAGCGATACCTGCAACAATAATGATTTCCCACAAGCCCAGTGACACTGAGGTTGTGTCCACACCAAGGGGACAGAAAAAAGATCACCTTTCCATTTCTCTGACCTTTACGAAAACCTTCAGACTTCCTGAACAGAGAGTTTGGGAGTCTTATCATGAGTATAATTACACTGTATATCAGAAGCTGCAAACAGACATGGTTCGATGAACCACTTAGTCAATCGGGACCCTTCTTATCTCATTTTTACAATAGGAGGGTGATGTTAGATTGTGGTAACAACCCAACAGCTCACAAGAGAGATGAAAAGCGTTTAGTAACTGCTGTGATTCATATCTGGGATCCCAAAGTGGTTGAAGGATTGACAAAACAGAAACAGAGGAAAAGCTCTTACCTACCCTACTTCAATAGCTCCTATGATGCTTCCTGAGGTGGATGGCTGGAAGGCGGATGATGAGGAAAAGGTGCATCGGCGCACCTGAAACGACATCAAATAATTCTTTCCGGGGTTTCTGCAAGGTTTACAAACAAATGAATTAAAAGTCGATTGCACACCTTATAAATTAATCCAGACTAATTTAAGTAATTAAATCAGTTCAAAAAGTGAAACTTAAGTATTTGAAAGTTTACAGTTATAGATTGTGGTTTATTTTAAGTCTTTGTGTCTTTGAATTTCGTTTATTACACTTAACAGCTAATCACAGACCTTTATACTCAAAAGTAGGTCCATGTACGGTGCAGTATATGGATTCTATACTTAGTTGGGTCCCTTTTCCCTCAACATAGAATGCTACTATAATGCAGATGGCTTTTTGAAAGCAACTGGAGGTGACTAGGCTGTGGGAGTGTTAGGTAATGAAAGAACCGAGGTATCTATAATAGGAACCTTGTGTCTTTACATCTTCTTTTTGACAACACTTTATCAATCAAGCACAGTGATTCCACCGTCATTAAACAATGGTAATGGTTGTCTTGGCAATTTGGGAACAAGTCATGTCCTGTCAGTAAGTGAAATCAGCCTCTCATCCTTCCAGTCATTCCATTGTTCACATACCTCAAAGGA